ACTAGTGGCATGTTTTTAGAAAATGCCACAAAAATAAAAATTGGCATTAAATGTTTTAGAAAAATGCTATAGAACCACAAAACATATAAGGCTCTAGTGGCATTTCAATAAAGAAATGTCACATCAATTTTATGACATTTTATAAAATAATGACACAAAAAATTATGTTTGTGACATTTACCAACAGATGCCACTAAACTTTAGTTGCAGTGGCATTTTTTAAAAAATGTCATTGCAACTAAAGTTTAGTGACACCTGTTGGTAAATGTCAGGAACATAATTTTTTGTGTCATTATTTTGTAAAATGTCATAAAATTGATGTGACATTTCTTTATTGAAATGCCACTAGAGCCTTATATGTTTTGTGGTTCTATGCCATTTTTCTAAAACATTTAATGCCAATTTTTATTTTTGTGGCATTTTCTAAAAACATGCTACTAGTGTAGTGTCACTAAAGTGTAAATTTGTTGTAGTGACATTTTTGTTGTAGTGAAGTGACACTTTTTTTAATTGAAATGCCACTAGAGCCTTGTATGTTTGTGGCTCTATGACATTTTTCTAAAAAATGCCACTAAATATTCTTTTTGTGACATTTTTTAAGAACATGCCACTAGTATGGTGTCACTAAAATATGTTTTTGTTGTAGTGTTGTGACACTTGTTCATTGAAATGTCACTAGAGCCTTTTATGTTTGTTGTTTTGTGGCATTTTTCCAAAACGTGCCACTAAATATCATTTTTGTGTCATTTTCTAAAAATATACCACTATTGTAGTGCCACTAAAGTATGTTTTTGTTGTAGTTTTGTGACACTTGTTCATTGAAATGTCACTAGAGCCTTTTATGTTTGTTGTTTTGTGGCATTTTTCCAAAACGTGCCACTAAATATCATTTTTGTGTCATTTTCTAAAAATATACCACTATTGTAGTGCCACTAAAGTATGTTTTTGTTGTAGTTTTGTGACACTTGTTCATTGAAATGTCACTAGAGCCTTTTATGTTTGTCGTTTTGTGGTATTTTTCAAAAACGTGCCACTAAATATCATTTTTGTGTCATTTTCTAAAAATATGCCACTAGTGTAGTGCCTCTAAAGTATGTTTTTGTTGTAGTTTTGTGACACTTGTTCATTGAAATGTCACTAGAGCCTTTTATGTTTGTCGTTTTGTGGCATTTTTCAAAAACGTGCCACTAAATATCATTTTTTGTGGCATTTTCTAAAAATATGCCACTAGTGTAGTGCCACTAAAGTATGTTTTTGTTGTAGTGAGATATATACAGATTAACGCCATGAAAAGAATAAAAGAAATGCATTCAGTTGTCAAAACAAAATGGAATTATTATTTTCCAATGTTGTTTCCTTAAACCTCGAAGGTGTTATTAGCATGCATATTTTAAACTTATATTTCAACTATGATTTTGAGCATATTTAAAATGCAATGCATATTTCATGTGCTTTGGTTTTCTTTTCACGCATATGCTGTTGTTTGTATCTTCTAATTCTCATTTAACTATGCTTATGTAGGCAGATTGAAATTGACAATAAATTTTTAGAAACACAGCACATTATGGATTACAGCCTTCTGTTGGGTGTTCATTATCGAGCCCCTCAACACCTGCGATCTCTTATGTCTTACAATCGAAATTTAAGAGCAGATGGGTTGGGAATTGTTGTAGAAGAAGGTGAACTTCATTCATATCCAGCAACTGATTTTCTTCAGTGCTCCAATATGATGCTGTTTGAACTTCCTGATTGTTGGTCAAATAACAAAATACCTTCCTGAATGTGAAACTGTAATAAGCATGAAAGACAAGAAAATTGTGAATGTGGTACTCCAATAAGCTTGTATAATTTGCACGGAAGTTTGCCTTTATATTGTTGCTTGTCACAAGGAGTAAAAAGAAAAAAAGATAGGTGTGGAAACCTCAAGGAAATTAACACATACAAAACTTGATTGATATGTATCCACTGTGTCATTGTGCTGTGAAGTAAACAAAAACTGAGGACGATCAATGGTATGCTGCTAATCTATGAGGGAAATAGTTGCAAATTTCTATCGCTCAATTTTTTTATAGGCTTATAGCTTGTAGTGGAAATGCAATTATTCAAGTTTTCGGAGTTTTCCTCTGCTTTTTTTGTTTTTTTGTTTTTTTGTTTTTCCATTTATTATTTGTTTGTTTTTTGTGATCATGTATAGGTCAAAAAAAGCCTCTAGATGACATGGGGGCAACATTTGACTGCTTGTTATTAGTATTTCAAAAGACTAAACCCTTTCCTTGACTTTTTCTTTAGTTTGTTTTTGGATCTTGGATTTGTGGAGCAATTTGTGTAGGAAAAAAGAAATGAGAATGGAAAAGTGAATGAAGTAGAAGCTATTTATGTATTTAATTTTTTTTTTTTACATCTCTCTTTTCATTTCCCTTCACAAATCCAAGATTCAAACACGATTCCTGATCTTGATAGCTGGTTCTTAAAGGATTTGGATCTTTCATACAATATGCTAGGTTTGATTTATGCATAAATGTTGAACGCAAATATTTTTTTCTTCTTTGGATACCCAAAGCCATAATAATTGGATTCTTTCATCCAATCTGAAATCACCATTCCCCTCTTTATACAAATATAACTGCATTATCTATTGGGACATGAAACTCTTAACTAAATTTTGTTGATATGATCCAATCAAAATCTATGGAGAATGAAATCTCCAACTACCCACAAGGCCTTGTTCTGGTCCCCCGTGGAGGCGGTGATAATAGTAGTGTTGTAGGCCCTCATATCAGAGGTACCCAATTGAGGGCTGCATCTGCTACTGGTGATAAGGAAGTGGATGTGGATCTCCTTCTTCCTGGTACAGCAAGGTATGATCATTAAACCAGAATTCTTTTTAACTTTTGCAAAAGCATCCGAAGAAAGCATGCATGATTGATTCTTGAATGCGGAATCCTGTTTAGATTTAGTGTGTAGGTGAATTCAAATGGAAGACTGAAATAATTTTAGTTGCTAATTACCTTTATCGACAATTCTTTGATGACGACTATTGCGACCAAATAATTTAGTTGCTAAAACCCTTCGGCGACTAAAAATTAACTTTTGGTGATTAAAAATTTAGTCGCCAAAAGTGAAAATTCTTGTAGTGTATGATTCATTAGTAAAAGTTATGATATTTTGTTAATCTTTTTATGATTGTGGAGAAAAAAATTGTGGTTATGATTCATTAATAAAAGTTATGACATTTTGTTAATCTTATTATGATTGTGGAGAAAAAAGTTGTGGTTATGATTCATTTTAGTAAAAGTTATGATTTTACTACCAAAAGTTATGATTTGTCATGGTGAATCATAATAAAAAATATTACGATTCAAATGTTATGATAATTGATTAGAAATAACTATATTTGTTATGAGTTGTCATTATATTGTTATGATTTATAGTGTCTTTGTTATGACACTTTAGTGAATATTATGACATTGTTATGATTCATTGTAGTGTTGTTATGATATTTGAAAAAAAGTTATGATTCTTTCTGTAACCTATTACATGACCGGTTTAGCAGGTCATTTTTTATGATGTGGCACGATATGGACCATACAATAAGTGCATATCATATGCCCTTCTATAAGGTGCACATTGTAGACTTTCCCAATTTGTAATAGTCAGAATTACCCTTCAAACAATGATTGTTTATCATTTACGATTATTTACAAAAGAACATGATGATTTGATAATTATTTTGATTTTTACAACTTTAGAATATCAACTTTTAAATTGAAAAAATTTAAAAAAATGATGTGCAAAAAATAATAATAATAATAATAATAATTTTTTTTGAAAAAATTGAATTATTTTTTTGTGCAAAACTGAAAATTTTGTGTCTATAAACGATCATAATGATGGAACACTGATATGCAAAACTAAAAAAAAAAAAAAACTTTAAAAATGAAAAACTTGATAATATTCTCAATTTTTAAATTAGAAAAAACTGTTAATATTATCGATTTTATTAGATAGTTGAATCAAACCAATAAGTAGAATAATAAAAACTTTTAATCTCATCCTATGTAAAATCGATAATGTTCTTAATTTTTAAATTTT